CTTGTGTGATTTCAAAAATCGAGCTTGAAAATAAATTGCTTGATTATTTGTAGCTGTGGCCGACCAATCGAGCGAAAAAAATGTAACATATTTTGAACAATTTTTGGACACAATTTCACACATGGTTTACACGGCAATTTGCAGTGAAGGACACACAAACTATTGTCTCCACTATCTTGAAGATAACTGATCTCTGTTGTAGAGTTTGTATTCTGTTACAGCAAATGCTCTTCATAATCGATATAATCACAATGCTTTTCAGTTTTTTGTTATGTGATGTAGTGACAAATTTAAATTTTGGGCATAACTATTCTTTCACTGTTCCCCCATATATGTTATCTTGCTGAAGAAGATTGATATAAAAATAAAAGACATTTAGTTTATCAGTAAATTGACTGTTTAATAAGCAGATGGTTTATATACTTATATCTATGTAAATACGGACTATACTTAAATTAAAAGAACAAATTGAGAAACATCGTATGATCATTGAAGCAATTAAAGTCAATTGACGCTATTCACCGTTATCCAGCTATTTTTTGTCATGATGTTTATCGTATGATGACCGCTCCTTTTAGAACAGAATTTGCGGAAACTATATCTTGGAATTATTAACCCGTTAAAATGAATGATAATTTTTACAGTTTGAAATAATAAGTATCAATGATTCGAAAACAAGTGAAATTAATTATTTATTTACATTTCGCGTTTCTTCTGAGAATCGTTTGAGGTTTATATAAACCGGCTTGGTTTGGTTTATTCGATTACGCAGAGCACTCTAGAGCTACCTGCCGAAGGGAAGGGATGCCTTCATGGACGGAAACTGGGTCATATACACGTTACGCATGGGGAAAATGACGAAAACGCCCATGCAGACAGCCCGTTCGCGGGATTCGAACTTAAAGACCGAACTACCAGTGTTCAGCGACTCTACCGCTCGGCCTCTGGTAAGCTTTGTTTAAACCGGAATTGCAATGAAGAATGCCAGGGAAAGTTCTACATTTATAAGTGTAACCAACCACGTAAAAGCCTTTTTAAATATCTATATCTGATTAATTTTTTTTCGTCATTTAGTGACCAGTCTCTCTGCCTGTGAAGTTACAACCTTATATGCCCAGATGAGAATGAGGAAAGTTTTTTAAAGTAAATTACGTTAAAATTAATTTTAAATTAGTTAGAATTAATTTGAAAACAAAAATTATATCGTTATTAAAAGAATCTTATAATGCATAAGCAAATCTTTTATTTCATACAAAAATTACAAATTTCTTCTATTTCACAAATAAATGACATAAAAATTTCGTTAATCAAACTAAAAAAAAAAAAAAAAAAAAAAAGAATACTATTTTATTAAAGTGCCCTCTTTAGAAAGGATTTTTAACGAATTATATAATATTCCAGGAAATTTATTTAAAAGGTTGGTTTGGTTTATTTAATTACGGCAAAGCACACTAGGGCTATCTGACTGAGGGGAGGGATGCCTTTGTGGAGGACTTTCTAAGGGAGACTGGCTCGTATACACGTTACACATTGGGAAAACCACGAAAACGCCCATGCAGCCAACCCGTTCGCGGGATTCGAACCGAACTACCAGTGTTCAGCGACTTTACCGCTCGGCCTCTGGTGGGCCTTATTTAAAAGGTAATGTCCGGCAGTATTTGCGCTGTGTGTGTAACTTCTTCCTTTCTTCTGGTAACGTTCCGGTTATTAAGCCACGGTTCTACAAAAACTTTCTTTGATCTCTTTAACTGTTTAAAATGATGGACAAATGTCCTTTGCTTTGGGATGTATTTGTATTTAAACAGTTTCAGTGTTACTTATAACTACAGTTCTTTAATGAGAAGTGCCTATTCATGACAAAATAAAAAGCACAAATAATTTGTACCATTGAGAATTTAAATTTCTTTATGCATTCATGCCAGATTGTTAACTTGGCTTCACTAAACTGTACTCGTATCTCACTCATATCTTAGGCTTAAGTGAAAGTCACATCAGTAGTAGTCTGTATATACGTAAAAAATAAAGATAGATACAGGGGTTGGACAAAAATATGGAAACACCTTTAAAAAAACATGTTTCTTTGCTTAATATGGTGTAGGAAACCCGTTGGCATTAAAAACAGCTTACAGTCTTCTCGGAATGGATAAATACAGTTCCTGTATGTTTTGCCAAGGAAATATTATACCATTCTTCCTGCAAAACGATGGCAAGTTCAGATAACGATGTTGGCGGCGGATAACGAGAACGCACTTTCCGTTCCAATGTAGACCACAAAGGTTCGATAATATTCAGGTCTGGTGACTGTGGTGGCCAGGGCAGATGGGACAACTCATCCTCGTGCTCAGAAAACCAGTCCTGGACAATGTGAACTGTGTGAACAGGGGCTTTGTCGTCTTGGAAGACACAATCACCATCGGGGAACAAAGTTTGTACCATGGGATGAACTTGATCGGCCAAAATGTTCATAATGTGAACATTTTGGCAGTCATGTGCCCTGACACAGTTATCATGGGGCTAGCAGAGAACCACGATATGGCTGCCCAAACCATAACAGAACCCCCGCCATGTTTCACTCTTGGCAACAAGCAGTCTGTATTATAGGCTTGAGATGGCGTTCTCCAGACGTAAACTCGGCCAGAAGTGGGAAACAATGTAAAAGAAGACTCCTCAGACCATATTACTCGCTTCCACTGCTCTATAGTCCAGGATTTTTGACTTAAACACCACCTTTTCCTGTTACGGGCATTAGCATCACTGATGAGTGGCTTCTCAATTGCAGCACGGCCAGCAATTCCCTGTTTATGAAGCTCCCTTCTAATTGTTTTGGTACTCGCAGGGTTCGGTAACACAACATTCATTTCAGCAGTAACTTTTGCAGCTGTGGTCTTCTTATTTTTCGTCACAATTGCCCTTAATGATCGTCTGTTACGATCACTCAGGACACACTTTCCTCCGCGCTGTGATTTAGCAGATGATGTTTTTCCGCTTTTCAAATATGCGGAATAAATCTTCGATACAGTACCTCTTGAAACACTAAACACCTCGGCTACCTTGCTTACGGAAGCACCTATCATACGTGCTCCAACAATTTGCCCACGTTCGAAGTCTGTTAACTCTGACATAATGCAATGACAACCTCACATAACAGTACTTCGACAACAACTGAACTGTTTAGCACATTTACGAAGTTGTATAGGTGGCATCAGTAGTCAAAAACGACAGCGCCACCTACATATTTAATTAAAATCAATCTTTTTAAACATGCATTTCACAAGGTGTTTCCATATTTCTTCCCATCCACTGTATATGTAAAAAATAAGATATATTTTATGGATATATGTAAAAAATCATACACTATAAAAATATAGCTGAGCAATTTAATGGTTAATTAACTAAGGGAAACTACAAGAAATTTACTGCCAAATAAGGCATTGCCTTTGTGGAGGACATTCTAAGGGAAATTTCATTTACGTTCCACATAAGGAAATTTAGATTGACAGTTAATTCAACTTTCTTATATTGACGCACTTCTTGCTTAAATTTCTAATAAGTTGAAAACATAAGTTTAATTAAATCTGTAATTTTTAAAGTTTTTAATCAATTGAAATAAGAAATAATTTTAAGAACACTGAACACAGTTGTAATGTCTGATACCTCCCTCCCCCTGGTACTCGAGGAAAAACGTTGTACAACTCCCTCTGGCGACTGATTGCCGCAGGGGAGAGTCAGTTAGGGTTTGGACAGCGTCGGAGGTGACTGCACGATTATCGCAGGCATGTACTCACCGTATATCTTAATAGGACTACACGATAATATGCAGGCGTGTACTCTCCAATTGACTTTAATTAATGTTAATCTTATGTAAATATTTTGTAATCTAATTAATACCTCTTTATATATATATATATATATAAATAAAATAATGTGTGAAAAGAAAGAAGTCCCATTATTGGATTAACACCACGGATGACAGCAAACCAAAGAACCTTTAAAAATCAATCATCACAACAGTCATCTTCGATTTTATAATGCATGCAATTACTTGCATTATTTACTCAACTCAGATTCGAAAAATTAGAAAATATATAAAACTTTTATTTTACATTCTTAATCTTTCTTTTTTTTTCAAACATAAATAAATTTATAAATTTTTCAAATCTAAATGAAGTGCTCAAAATTTCTTAGCCAAAAGCAATTTTTAATTATTAATCTGATCTTCAAAGTTTTGTAAAGTCTTTATATTTTATATGTACATAAGAAAAACTTCAAAATATAATGAAGAATAGATTTTAATTGAAATTGGTTTCTGAGCTTTAAAAATTAATTAAATCTTTATCGAAGCTTTTTCAATGTATTTTTATCTGAAAATACATTATTAAAAAAAAGAAAGAAAATCTGAGGGTTTTCAGATTTTTATATAACGCCTCAAAAGGTGTTTTTTAACGTTTCGTGTGTTACCATTATTTATTAAATATCGTGTTCATTCGCACTTAAACCACATAGAATTCAATCAACAGCAATATCACAAAATATTTAAAAACAGCATACACAGTCTCGCATGCTGGAGATAAAAATGCTTTTTTCCGTACAGTGTTGCCATTGCTCGCTTTGAAATCGTTGACGTTTGTTAATAAAAATTTGTTAAAGTTTCACAACATTTGAAATGGACGATAAACCAAATTCGAAATTCAAAATTTAGGCTTATAAGTGTTAAAATTTGGTGGCAGCAGTTTGAAAAGTGAATTAACGCAGAAAGTGACACTACGCGAAATGCCATTTTGAGGCTAATAGCCCTTTGGTTCTAACGCCCCTTTGGGCTAAAAATTTATAATCTTTATACTTTCAGTAATGAATAAAAAATCATCATAAAAGAAATCTCTGTGGTTTTAATTTTTTCGAGGAAAAAGTTACGAATGAAAGTACTGAAATATTTACTCTTAATAATTCATTTCGGTCTTCAAAGGTTTCAGTTTTAATAGAACGTTGTTCTTTTCTTTCAGAGTGGCCGTTCATATTATCGAAGCGGTGACCACATCTTTGAAGAACGTAATGATGAAGGGCTCGTATTTGGGCAGAAGGTTCCTATTGGTGGAGCTGTTAGTAAAGACATATTAGGACCGGATGTTGAAGAAGAAAGGGATATATTACCCCCTCTGGAGAAGGATGTATTACCCCCATCCCCCGAATCCGCAGAAAGGGATCCTCTTTACGTTGTTCACTATGTACCGCGTGGACCCCAAGAAGCCACATCAGAAGCACCATTGCCTTCACCCGCACCAGATGTTCTATCGAAGCTATTATCTGCTGGTAAATCTAGTGGTGGTAAGTGATGAGATATCTTAATTTATTTTTGATAACGGTTTAGAAAAAGCAGTCTGTTTTCAATGAAAGAAAGATTTCTTTTTTTATTTTTTTTTCGTAAAAGTAACAGCTTCACAAAGAAAATCCTAATCAAGAATACAGAGAATTTTCTTTTCCATCTTAGAGTTCAAAATGCCTGTGTTAATCATTAGACAAATGGAAATATTTTTATGTCGCAATTCATTTTCTTTTATTTTTGGTTATTTTTTTATTTCATGCTTTCATATTTCTTTAACTGTTGTTGAAATTTCGTGTTCAAAGGTTTCATGACAGCATTGTAAATACATTATATTACGCTCATTCATCTTGTTTAGAATATTGAATAGTATCTGTTTCACATCTATTTTGTTCATTAACTTCCAAATACTTTACGATTTGAAAACACTTCTCAATTAGAGTGTGGATCATTTGGATTACATATAAGAATGAAATGATTTAAATAGGTGTTTTCATACAGTAAATGAATAATTATGTCTATTCGTACCATAAAATGTTAATTATATAAAAAAATCTAATGAAATAGTAACAAATTAATTACTCATCAAATTTATTGGTTATATACAGAAGAAAACCAGCTAGGAATTTAAAATTACGCAAAATTTAACTTTTTTTAACTTTATTTTGAAAATGGTTAAAAAATATTAATAAAAACCCTACAAAAGAGGTTATTGAATTTTTAAAATTTTGTACCACATGAATAAGAATTAAAATTACATGTAACATTTTAAAAGCATTTTCTGATTAAAAAACAATGCATCATAAATGGAGTGTATATAATCAAAGAGTAAAAAAATTTTAAATTTATAACTGTATGGTATTTTCACCTTCTTACCAAGGGCCTTCATAGTGTAATTGGAAGCACGTCTGGGTAGCAGTCAGAAGATGTTAATTCGAATATTGGCAAGGACATTGTTGATTTTTAGTTTTTTCTACACCGTTAGAAACCTAATGATTCTACATAAATTGGCATACATTCTACATAAAATACTAACGATTCTTCATATAAATTGACATATTCTACATAAAAATCGAATGATTTTGATATTAATTGACATACATTCTACATAAAAAAACTAACGATTCTACATACAAATTGACACATTCTACATAAAAATCGAATGATTTTGTTATAAATTGACATACATTCTACATAAAACCCTAATGATTCTCTATATAAATTGACGTACTTTCTGCCTAGAAAGCTAATGATTTTGCATATAAATTAACATATATTTTGCATAAAAACTTAATGATTTTACATATTAAATATATTTGTAAATAAGACGTTTATTTAATAACGTGTAGAATTTGACTTGCTTTGGGAGCTTAAAGTAGATCCAAACACTTGACGCAGAGAGAAACTATAACGGTGTCGTCGTAGGTTTAAACAAACCTTTTAATTAAAACATAACTTGAAAGTTAACACACTTTTTGATCTTAATCAACCACCACTTGTGACAATGTAACTAAGTAACAGTCACATTCAAATTTAAAACGTGGACCAGGACTCTAAGACTATATTTTTACATCAAGCTGGCTCAGAAACAAACCTCTAATCGACTCAACAGTTTACATATCGGCAGAAAATAACCCGAGATCGAATAATTATATTCTTATCAGAGCTAGTAGAACTAACGTAACGTGCCTCGGAAGGCAAAAAACACGCTATGTCTTACAATCCAAAACACTGTACTTAAATGCTCTCTAACCTCATTTATATTTCTGGTGAGGAAACGGAAAGTAGAAGTTGTAGTAAAGATCTAAATCATCGCAACTGGTTAGTTTCAAACAATTACCCTACATGTGAAATAATAATATACGCTACAGTTCCTAAGCTAAATACTTAACAAATTGTACCGCTCGTTTCAGTATTAATCCCAGAGATGTAACTAACATATGGTCAGTGCAAACGCCACTATAAACATCAGTTTAATGGACATTCCCAAAACGGAAAAAATATGTACGTATCTGAATAACAAAGAATACAGTGAATAAAGCTTTAAAAGGGCGACATTTTTCATCCATTTCGAATATTCACTAAAAATTTTTGTGTAAATATTGTTGTTTAGGTGGTACAGTATTTGTGGTGAGATGGCTTCCCCGCAAAGCATTGTTAGGGTTAGGGTTGCCACACTTGGCAAAAAATCTCCCATTTGGCGACAATATTGGCGATATACAATGGACGGATGGAGAACCTTCTGGAACGAATTCTTACCATTTTAGCCTAGAATGTTCTCGAACACAAGCCGAAAGCTATATAAACCCTGCTGGTCCGCAGTCAGTTAGTAGGTATGCCTCGTATAGCGAGCCGATAGTCAGTCATTGAGCGAGTGTCTCGAAGTTTAGCGCCAAGTTGGTCGTCGAGTGCATCGAGAGAGTCTTTTAGTGCATCGTCGAGTTTTGTCTTAGACTGTGCTGAGTCGAGAACTATGCTCTTCTGTATCGTCGAGTGCATCGCGTGGAGAGTCTCGAGATTACGTGGAATTCCGAGAACAACCAAGCAGAGTCGGAAGCTGTACTCCGGAAAGCAGAGTCGGGTGCTTTGCAGGAAGCTGTTTCCACCGTTATTGCCTGACAGTGTGAAGGCTGTGTCGCTGATTGTTCCAGCGTGTTTATAGTAGATCTTCGACGACTTTAAAAGTGTTTTGGAGCTGTCTTGATTAATATTGATAAATAAAGTGTGTTTCGATACTTCATCCAGTGTCGTCGTTATTCACTCCAAATCTACGAACCCCGTACGAACGTGAAGGAAGAAAATAACGTAATAACTGGTGTCAGAAAAGAAAAACGCAACAATATATTATATGTAGCACATATAATCTGTGAATGATACACATACCATAATTGAGAACCTTTTCTCTGAAATTAGCATTATTCAAAGAGCTGAAGTCCGCCTAATTTTAAATACAAAAATTAGTTAAATATTATACATCATTAAAAAATTCAGTAGAAGCTTTGTGCTTATATTTCGTACCCTGGGACATAAGTACTGGGATTCGTAGGTGTTCAAAAATGTCTTCAAATTCAGTTTTATTTTATACCAAAATATTTCGCATTAACTTTCACAGACAAAGTCTCCACAAGTGAAAAATGTTGTTGTTGTTGTGACTTATTTCACGGCAGTAACATCAGAATAAGCTTACAAAATTCATCATTGTAAGGAGTGCAAGTTTGCGCCTTTCGCTGGCAATAGCCTTGAGAACCATACAGGTGAGAGTATACGACTTTTCTCTGTTCCTCCTCCCAATTTTGAAGAAAAGCACTTCTTCCCCTTCCGTCAACCTCACAAGAGGGCTTTCGGCCAGCCGCATATCTATAGTGCCTCCATGTCTTCCCCGGGATTCGAACCTGGGCCTATCGGTGCGGCAGTCAACCTCGCTAACCACTATCCCAATCGGGCGGCACAATTGCAAAATGGTTGACTTTAGTGCATCGGGTGATTCAATGTCTTTTAAGAGATATTATGTACTACATGAGATAAGAAATTGAAGCTCTAATACGAAATTTCAAACGTAGCTGAATAAAATTCATGATCACAAAAGCAATTCTCCACTTGAGAATTTTCTAGCTTCATATTATACAATGATCTTAGAACCTCAAGGAAATGCAGTGTAGTGGCGGAGACGGAATCTTCTAAAGATTGAACAGCAAGGGCAAAGTGAAATTCCTGTTCTTTTATTCTCATGCCAATAAATAATCGAACAGTCGTGACGGAAATGATATGAAACAGTTTTGAAGTGAAACTTCAATGCTATGGTGGAAGGACAGGAATAAAAGGGAAGTGCAAGAAACAACTATCATAATATTAGCAAGCATGAAGTAACTACTCATACATTTTAATATAATAATACGCATAAACTTTGATTTCTGAAAGTCAGGAAGAATCCGGGAAAAATCGAAGCATGTAATATCAAATCATTGTTACTGCCGTGGACCGCCTCATATACCATAGCGCATTGCAAGCTGGAATTCATTGATCTAGATCATTAAAAATGAACTTTTTATACTAATATCCAAAGGAAATTTTGTTATGCTTAAATTCACTCAAAAGCTGATGAAATTAGGGAAGAAATATTTTTTCATAAACAGGAAATATACTAACAGGAAATTACACATGTCACGAGCTCCGCGGGACTTTTTTTTCCACGAAGAGGGTCAGCACATTTTTTTTGTTCTTAAAAGATAGAGACATAGCTCACAGTCACTCATATATCTGACAGATTATATCTGAATAAGGAAAACTAACATCTCTGACAGCTCTTAGACAAAGCTACGATTTGATTGAGCGAATTTTTTGGACGATTTCATTGTAATTACATAATTATTTTACTCAAAATGTTTTAAATAATTTTAAATAAATAATGTTTTAAACAATTGTGTTTTAAATAATCTATTTAATAACCCTTATTCTTCGGTATCTTTATACACTGTAATTTCCAAGGCACTAAAATCTTTTTAAAAGAGGTATTTTATGCAATTAATCTCCAAAAGCTTACTAAAATCTATGGAGTTGTACGTCGGCATTCGGAACAATTAAACAAAACTCCAAAAGCGCAAAAATGCATTGGTGATAGGTCAGGAGATTTAGTAAGGATATGAGTGAAGGGAACCTTGATACCCGTTTCTTGTTACATTTTTTTCCAAGAAATTAGCCATAGATTTTGATGTATTGTTGCCTGCTTTGTCTTGATGCAGTCCTAATGATTGATCACATTGTGTGTAAAGAGAAGGTATTTCACATTTGAAAATTAGGTATAAAATATGTTTTTGATAATATGTGAAGTTGATCCTAGCATTTTTCTCCACTCTCATTATTTTAATTTGCCGTTATATGAAAAACCAGCAACGATCTTAATTCCCTCCGAAAAACTTTCTTTAGATTCCTTGAGCTATCTTTTAAAGACTTTTTCTCCTCTTTGATGATAATAAGTGAATCTTCTCTTACTACAATCATTAAAGTACACCCAAAATTCATCTATTGTGACAACATTTTTCCATTTTTGTCCTGATAAATGCTTCTCATAAAGAATTCTGCAGCGAGTTCTGCATTTCGTGATATGTCATGAAGAGGTACGGTCCACATCACGTTTCTTCGCCTTTTTAAGATTATAATCAGTATTAATCACTTTGTTTACAGTTACATGACACTGAGCATTTTAATGATTTTGCAACTGTCCTTTAACTTGGCGGATATACTTTTAACATTAAATATCTTACTTTTGCAACATACGAAACATTCTATTTGTTTTCTCAGGTATGTATTTGGAACAATGCTTCCACATGTAGCTAAATGTTGGCTTTTTTTTTTTTTTTTTTTTTTTTTTTTTGACTTCTTTTAGCTTTAGATATCGAAAAACCACGGCTTTCACTCACGTGTCTATAAACTGGTTGCGAATAATTTTCTTTGGAAAGAACACAAACATAGCCTCCCATTCATTGCTTCTTTGAAAGCGACATTTTGCATGAAAACAAAATTGTCAAGTAGCGGATGATAATTTATACTTTCAAAAATATAGTTGATGTAAAAAGAATTTCAAGCGGAAATTGTTTTTAGTCCAAAGGAATTTGAGTCCCGAACGACTATTACTTTCGTTTTGACATTTTGCGTCGGACTCCTATAGATGTCGGTTCACTTTTCAAACTGTTGCCACCAAATGTTAGAGTCCTGCATTATATTTGAAGAAATTAAATAATGAAAAATCTACATAAATGTATGTATTTCTCCACTGTGATAAACAGACGGTACTAGAGCCTTCCAATTTGAATGATGTAATCGTACTACGATTGGGCATCTGAATCCCAAATTTGAAATTTGGATTTGTTTTGTAACTTTAAAACGATTTTTGAGTACAAACTCAACGATTTAAAGCGAGCATGTCAAAACTCTATTTTTGAAAAAAAAAAAAAAAATACCTTTTTATCTCCAAGCGTTGAACTGTGTACGAAATTCTAAGATAGGCTCATTTTTAATTTATTTTGTGACATTGTTATTAACTAATTTTTGTTTAAGTGCAAAACGTGATTTAATAATAAAGTACAAAACACAAAACGTTAAAAAGTCCTTGGACTAATTTTAAATCTGAAATTTTCAGTTTTTTTTTTTTTTTTTTTTTTTTTTTACAGCAAAGCAAAATCGTTGAAAAATGTGGGAACAGCCTTTATACTTGAAAAGTAATTGCGGACTGTACCAAAGAATTAAAAAAATCTTTATTAATGCTAATTAATACAGAAAAATTTTCAACATACGTGATTTGGCATGTTAACTTAAGCGAGTTTAGCGGTTAAATGAATAGCTTTCTTTTTTTCTACATCAAGTAGGGCTATATGGGGTAATACTTTACTTTAACACTATTTAGCGCAAATTTTAAGAGTTGAACGAATTATAATGGTGGACCTCAAGAAAGAAAATAGGAAAGTGTAAAACCTTTACTCTTTCAAAAGTTTCTTCTTGGCTTCGATGGCAATAATTCATGTTGTTATGATAAAAATAATTAATTTAACTGTTAAGAACTTACTAATAAGTAATATATATTTCCTTGATTTTAATCACTTTTCTTGAAGAAGAATAAATCAAAAAGAATAATTAATGCATATGTCGAGTATTCATATCTTGAATACTTTTTATTACATCTTAATCAAAATAATCATCAACATGCATACATTGAGTATGGGTTTTTACCATTTCTTACTTTAAATTGCATTTTTAATAGGTAAAGGAACGCCTCAATTTATTGTTTTTGCTCCTACGGCTAACGAAGCACATGCTGAGGATGACGAGGAAGACGATGATGGTTATAGTCCCAGAGTAACCCGTAAACGTGTGAAGAAGAGAAAGAAGATGAGAAAAGAAATGGATGACATTGAAGATGAATATGCAGATAATACTCAACTAAGAAAACAGGTAAAACTAATAATAATCTCATATAACCTATCCTAATTTAACTGCAGTCGTATTCAAATGAATTCGGGGTATACCTAGCATTCTAAAGCAAATGAACATCTAATTATTTTGGCTGTATGCGATGAGTTCTATTCTATTTTATCTGTAATATCAAATGTGTATTTGGAACTTCGAAATAAGAATTGAAGCTTTTTTCAAAAACATAAAAACAGTTTACTGCACTGAGAGGATAGCATGTAATCAAAATAAATTTGCTGCCAGTATTTATCATAGATTTCTGTAGCTGAAGTAAAAAAAAATGTACTCTCTGGATTTGTTTGAAATATTCTGTGACTACAGACTTTCAGATCCATTCCATTCGTGTAATCTAAAAAAGGGGATTAATATTCTAAAAATATATTTAATCATGTAATAATTATAATATGACTCTAACAGTTAAATGTGTTAATTACTATTTTTATAACAAGATGCATACCGAAGAGAAATACCCTCACATCAAAGCACATTCATGTGAAATTAAAGTTTTGATCAGCAGTAAAATATGAATTATTGATTTTTGAATAAGGAGTTAAAACATGAATAGTGATAAAAATGATAGAATAAATGAAACCATTATATGCCTTATACTTTCATGTGTGGCAAAAATTTCTTAGAAATTTATTAAAAGCAAAGTAGTGTAGTTCATTCTGCCAAAACAAATTGTTCTGTAACATCTGAGTTTATCCCGTTTTGTTGAAGAAAATAAGTAATAAAAACAACGCATTTCATTACATTTATGCACAATCATAGTATCTAAATTATAATATATTTTAACCAAAATTGAACATAACAGTTTATTTATTATTGTCTGAGGTTTTGTTTGGTGACATTGGCGTGCTTTCTCTCGAAGAATGCTCTAAACTAGGTACAGAAAAGGTGAATTCCTAAGAGTACCCATAGCTTTTAACTTGATTTTCTTCTTCTCAGATAACACTGTACTGGACAGTAGAACTTAGACTACTAAAGCGTCAAGGAGAGTTATTACCTGCGTAAAAAACAAAACAAAAACAAATATTTTCCAAAAACAACAAGTGCTACTTATGGTCGAACATAAAATAACATGCAATAGAAAACTTGAAATTTTCGCTAACTTATGAGAAATACACATTTGGCTTAAACTAATAACAGTTTACAAGCATAATTGTAAATCACTGCTGTTGTCGTTAGTTACCAATCACACTTCTCTGATAAAGGTCAACACAAGCCCACGACATTCATTGTGGAAAGGAGCCATATGCAAGTCTTTGGCAAGTCTTGACTATCATATAGGTGACAGCCCTACTTCAGCTCAGTTACGTGCCCAGTTTCGAGATAGATTACCCTACGGGACGGGTCCGAAGGTCTTCCAGCTTTAATCTTCTACCATTAACCTCTCGAGAGGACTTTAAACTCGCAGCGCATTCAGAGTGCCCCATGCTACAAAGACATTATACATTTGCAAACACTCATGTCTTCTCCGGGATTCAAACCCAGGCTCTTCGGTACGGCAGAGTCACTAACCACTATCCCCTTTGGGAGGCTAATTACAAGTCGTAAATTAGACATTTGGAAGGATATTATCTCTCAAATTTAAATTTCCAAACACATAAACTATAAAAAGGATTTCGAAGATGCAATAAGGAAAGGAACAGAGGTAAAACAGCTCCTAGCCGTGAGGAGGACATTCTTGAACAGGTACTAATCTCACAATCTGCTTTCCCTGCATAACTCAAAATATTTACTCTGGCATAACTACCGCAATTTTTGAGAGTTGAACGAATTATAATGGCGGACCTCAAGAAAGGAAATAGGACAACATAAAAACTTTACTCATTCAGTTTCTTCTTGGCTTCAATTGCAGTAATTCATGTTGTTATGATAAAAATAATTAGTACATTTAACTGTTAAGAACGTATTAATAATTAATATATATTTTCATGATTTTAATCTCTTTCCTTGAAGCAGAACAAATCAAAAAGCATAATGAATGCATATAAATCCTGGAATACTTGCACACAATACATGGTTATTAGTGAAATTAGTAAAGTAATTTTAGGCATTAATGGCCTTTTGTGCCATTTGTTTATAAAGAAAGAAAGGGAAGCGTAAAATCAGATAATTTAATGTTTTTAGGGAAAACATTTTTACAAAGATTTCTAAATGTTTCCTTCGTGTTATTAAAGGAATACGTTATTTGGCCTTTTAGGTGTTTTAGAGCACATTTCTTTCTCAATTCTTCTACAGTAAGAATTATAAGCATTATGAGTAAATGAATGACTAACGATGAAAGTATTAATTACATGCATAAATGTAAATAAAAGAAAGAAGTGTTTTTGTTGAGGGAAGAAAGGTTTTAATAGTGACTGATAATTATAAGTTTCAAATGATGAAATAAACATTTTATAAAATTTTGTTTTGGATACTTAATACATTATCTTGGGAAAGGATTAAGAAGATGAACACCATTCATTTTATTTAATTATTTTTAATAATTAAACCGATAACTGATAGAAACTTCCCGTTTTTGAATAATTAGTGATTTAAGATAAAGAATATGTGGCATTACTTTAATAGTTACATTGGATAGTTTTATTTCTGTTATATGTACTTAACTCTTAATTACAATTATATAAAATTATTGTATCCGCAGTTTATTATTGGGTTGGTCCATAAGTTCTGGTTTTTATTTTTATTTTTTAAAGTTTAGGCTTTTCCTAAAATAAACAGGAAATGAACGACAAATCGATTAATAATGTGTTCTCCGTTGGTCTTTACAACTTCTTCCTAGCTTTCAACAAGATGTTCAATGCCTTGACTTTAAGATTGACCTTCTTTGAATAGCTTAAACCAATTTTTAGTTGCACTGAGAGATATCGCTTCTTCGCTATACAAATTGTAATTTTTTAAATATAACGCTGATTTTTGTTGTTTGTCTTCTGAATTAATATTCAATACTCAATGGAATTCCTTTTTTATACTCAATTATACTGCCAAGAATCTATAAATTCCTTTTTATCTTGACCGAATGCAAAGAATTTGTTTGAACGCCATCTTTTTTTGCAAAGTTATATTTATAATTCTGCTGCAGGATTCGTAATAATTTAGTCATCTGTGCATTTATTCCATTAATTCCTTACTGCGTTTCAAGCTGATAGGTTCATGTAACTCTCTTTAATTTTCTTCTTATTAAATATATTATGACATAGGAAATCCTGAACTTATTCCATTAGTGGAATGAATTATGCATATTCAAATCTAATAAAAATTATGTTTAAAAACTCTAAAATCATTCATTTTTTACTCAAAACTGGAAAGAAATTATCATTTGATAGCAATAAATGTTAAATAAAATGCTCATATTTAAAACATTTAGCAATATTAAATTTGCGTAGTTGTTACTAGTTTAAATTATATGCTTCAGAGGTACATCTAGAGCTTTTAAATATTTTAATTTGAAAGCTTAAACTAATTTACTCAGAAAAGATTTTACAGACATTTAAAACTGTCTGAGCTTCAAAAAAGATTATTTACAGTCATTAATAATCTGTGATCATTATAGAAAATTATCTATATTTTTCTATAATGATCCTTCAATTTCTATAATGAGCCTTCAATTTTCTAGCTAAGTGTTAATTAGCTAAGTGTTAATTATTTGAATGAATAAAATAACATTTATTCGTATAAATTACATGCATATAAATTATTCCTATAAATACTATAATTTATCTTCCAAATCACCTAATATTTGTTTATATTTATTATGTGAATTTAGAATATACTTTTTTTCTCACAGTTTTACAAATACTATAAAATTATTTAAAATTCGTTTACATGGGATTTATATACATACTTTGTCAGAAATATTCTAGGACCAACGCCATAAAAGTAGAAAATTGCACTTACCAAGTAATGATTGTAGCTGCTATCAAAAGTAGTTCCCTTGGCTATTTATGCACAACTGCCAACATTTCTGCAGGTCTTGGAAGCAAGCAGGGAAATCTTCAATTGCTATGCTTGCAAGCTCATTTGTCACAACCCGTTGGATGTCTGCAATAATCTTGACCAAGCTTTTCCTTCAGTCACCTTTTCACTCACAGAAAAAAGAAAAAAATCACAATAATCTTTGACACAAATGTGGCATCACGTCTGGCTCTATCCAATAGTTCAACAGAAATTCTTCGTTTTTCCTCTTTCTGTTCATCTGTTGTGAGTGAAGGAGGATTCTTGCATTAAGTTTCCGTTTCCCTAAATCTTCGCTTAAAACCTTCTGACACGTATTACGATTTCAATTTAGTTCTTCTAATAGCATGCGCACAATTATAAGACGGTCTTCTTGTAATAACTGCCTTGCACGCTGTACACATCGGTATCAGCTCTGCGTTCGTCTTCAACTAAATCTCTGCCCTCACGAAACCTTTTCCGCCACTCGAAAACAAGTTTTTTTTTAAAAGTGTCTCGCCTGCATATGCTTGCTTAATCATATTCCACTTTTCACTAGGGGGGTTTCCCGAGCTTAACACAGAGCTTAATGTTCACTTTTTGCTGACAACCAGCATCCATTGTGTCACCTTAATGAATGCGACAACAATCCGAACAGCGTGTTGCTAAACACAGCCCTGCCGTCTAGTCAGTTTGGGCGGAAACATGGCTAAGGTCATGTAAAATAAGAATACATACCAGGTAACATAAACATAACATTTGTTCCTAACCATTCTTTTTAATACTGCAAACTCAGAAATAAAAATTGCCCTGTAAATTTTCTGACAAAAGATGTATAAAAGTATTTCCTTTGACGTTTGTTTGAACAAGTCTCTTAGCTACGAAATTGTGATATAAACCATGGTTATTGCTTTAAACATACTTTATCGATTCATGGCATTGTAAATTAACATTTGTGTGTTCTTCTTGTACAGGTTACAGCTGTACCACGCAATGGCTATTACGACCAGTCTAATGATTTTCAAAATTGGCCTGTGCAACAATTCAACAATCAGCAACAGCAGTACAGTAACCAGAAACCATGTTGTAATATGCCCCAGCAATCACAAGGAGGTGGTATGATGCCCGCTCAACAAGGTGGGGGAATGATGACAACGCAAGCTCCTAGTGGCATATCTATCACTTTAGGGCAAGGTCTTCCTTTATCACCATTAGGAATTCTAAGGCGCTTGTTACCCAACCCGAAAGTAGATCTTAAGAAAAAAGTTTTCTTTGGTGTGCAACTTGAAAACGGATTCGGATTCGGCGGGGCTGATGGAGCTGGAAATGCGGGTGGAGGTGGAGGTAATATGGGTGGGCAAACGGGAGGTGGCGGAAACATGGGTCATCAAGGAGGTGGTGGTCAACAAGGAGGTGGAATGACTTACCATTTTGGTTGAGGAGAAGCGAATTGAAATGGAAAACTTAGGTGAGGTTCGTTTTTCATTTTAACTGGGTTTTCCAAGTTACAACGGATTCATATCATTCATTTATTATCTCATTTTAGAAGTAGATAAAAGTAAATTTCGCTGTGAATAACTGCATTGAATGGGATTATTTATTTCGGGTACAAATGGAGATGGATAATAGTTATTGCTTTCATAAAATTTCTTAGCTTTGTTGGTGGTGCTTTGATGTCTATTTTATAACTAGTATTTCAAACTTTTATTTAGTCAAAATGAAGTTGACAATAACCTAAATGAGATCACAACTATAATTTTTAATTTACGGTTAAATTTAACTTGCAGTCTGAGTGTTACATACAGCATCCTCTGCATGCATAGATACATAGATACACATAGATACAGCATCCTCTTCATGTAACAAACTAAATTTTACTTTTTGTAAGAAGCTTATTTAAATCAGGATACAATATTTATGTAAAACTACTCATCTTGTCATATATTAATTAGTGAATGATAGTTAATGATTTAAAATGAAACTTAATTATTGAATATCTCCTTTAAAATGACTGATAGAGGAGACTTTTGCATGTAAACCTATATTTATTGCAAGTCTTATTGGCCAAAGTAAGGTTTCAAAATATTTCAAAATGATAGCTCTTTTTTTTCCTTAACAGAGAGTATAAGACATATCATATTTTGTGATACAATGATCTAGTCGGCTATTTATGAAAGCAAAATGATTACTAAGGCAAATATTCAATTTATCATAATACTGTTACTCAGTTTTTCCAAATGTGCACATTTTAACAATAGCTAAGAGTATAACTTGTTTTGTTTAAGAAAAACATTAGCTATATTTATGTGTAATTAAAATAATTAACAATAAATAACAACGAATGAAGTTTGTCAAATATTAGTTGGATAGAGAAATTTAATACTCTTTAATTTATAATTTTATAGAAGAGTTTCATTGTGAGAGACCAGCACCGTAAAATTAGCGTTCTGTGACCTAGACGCATTGTGATTTTCTGGTTTGGGTAAAATCTTAGATGCAGAAGGAAATAACCATTACTTCTACGAAACGAGAATGAAATGCATATGCCTTGGTAAAGGGAATCCGAATCCGTTTTGAAACTGGAGCCACAAATCCAATATACTATGCAAAGAAAATAAAATGACTTTGTGCCTGTGATGCCATCTGGGACTTCAGAGAAAGTCAGACTGTTTTCATTCTAAGAACCAAAGAAGACTCTTCGCTAGTGTATAATATATATTTTTTTTTTGAGAAATAAAAAGAAAACTACTTTTCTATGAAAGGATCCATTACTTTACGTGTATTTTCTCCATTTTTAGAGCAAACTTTTGTACAACACTCTTACCACAAAAATGTATAGTAATGTTATAAATGCGAAATTATGTTTAGCAATAATAATAATAATCATAATAATAATAATAATAATAATAATAATAATAATAATAATAATAATAATAATAATACATAATAATAATAATAATAATAAAATAATGAAAAGTTTCAGATTTTACAATTACGCACAAAGGGCTTTTTGTAACGTTTTGTTTGCTACCTTTATTTACTAAATATCATGTTCTTCGGACTTAAATCATAAATTTCAATTCAGCAGGAATATCGCAAAATAATTTAAAAACAGCATATCTTTACAATTTCCGATACACAGTCTCGCGCGTTGGAGATAAAAATGTTTTTGTTTCGTACAGTGCTGCCATTGCTTGCTTGGAAATCGTTGAGTTTGTTAATCAAAATTTCATTAAAGTTTTACAAATTATGAAAGAGATAATAAAACAAATTCTTCTAAATTCCAAATTTGGGCTTCCAGATAACCATATTCCCGTGGAGACATACGTTATTCAAAATTTGATGGCTCTAGGTACCTTTGTTTTATCACAGTGCGAGAAACATACACACATTTATGCAGATTCTTCATTATATTTTCTTTAAATATAATACAGGGTGATAATATTTGGTGGCAACAATTTGAAAAGTGAAATGCCACAAAATGCCAAAACGAAACTAATAGTCATTCTGGGCTAACGTAGTTTAGGCTAAAAAAATTAATTGAGGTGGGAAAGGGGTGTTTTCTTCAATTTTAGGCATGAGGCACTAATATAAATGCTTGTTAATTTTAACTCAACATAGAAAAATTTATTTATTTTTTGTTATAGCTTTAAAAATGGGGTAGGAAATAAAATAGCATTTCATATTCAAAACTAAATTATCGAAATGTTTTACATATTAATAATTGTGGATATTTTATTATTTCAGATTAACTCCCCTACTTTGGAAACACACCTACAAGTAGTCTTGTCATTTAAAATTATAATTAAGACTGATAAGTTTTAATTCCAAGGCATACCACGCGTATAACAAAAGTTAACAAAAAAAAAAAAAAAAAATTAAAGTTAAAGTTATTCTCTAAAGCTTGTTAAATTTCACTTCATATTATAAAATAAAATTTTATTATCTTTATTAGCTTATTTTAAATTTAATTCTGTTTTGTGAATTTTTGTACTTTTGTGTTCTGAATAAAATTTAATTTCGCAGATGCATTAAAACGAAAAATAAACAAATAAAATGCTAGCTATTAGCATCCTCTAAAGGCCAAGCAATCTTAGCAAGGCTAGCTGGATACGTTGAGTAGTAGCAGCGATATTTTGTGCATTCTATAGTTATTCCTCTAAAAGTAGTTAATTAGCAAAACATTAGTATTTAAAGGAAACACTTTTTTTTCTTCTTGGGCAACGTCTGGGCATTTACTCGAATGCATACGTCGAGGTGCTTATGCTATGATAATTGGATTGGATTATTTAATTATGGTTAAGCACACGAGGGTTATCTGCCTAAAGGCAGGGATGGCTTCGTGGAGGACTTTCTAAGGGAAACTGGCTCGTATACACGTTACACATGGGGTAACCACGAAAAAGCCCATGCAGCCAGCCCGTTCACAGGATTCGAACTTCGGACCTAACTACCAGTGTTCAGCGTTTTTACCGCTTGGCCGCTGGTGGGCTATGCTATGATAATACATAAGCATATTAATTAAAGATTATTATATCTAACTAATTAAACAGTATTAGTCCCGTTAGTCTCTAGTAGTTATTCAGATTTACTTTATTATGTTAAAACGAAATGTTGAATTGAACCGACACTTTGCACTTTATTTGATGATATGTATATATAGATATAAGCAATTAATTGAAAGATTTAGGAATTTACGATTTAATTAATTATACAGGAGAAATTTATCAGGACTTTTTTTTTTTTACTTAAAAATTTAGGATTACATAAGTAACAATGGTTAGTTACACTTTATTAACAGAACAAATGAACAATTCAATTATTGTGAAAAATTAATTAAGTTTTGCAGTCTGGTACTTGGCATTTACTACATTTTAACGCAAGTAACTTGTGCTCTACAAGCATTCTCGATCTATAAAGGCAGCCTCAGTAAATGTTAAATATACGTATATGTAAAAATCATAATAATATGAGAACCTTATTATTTACAAATTTGGGGGAAATATCTGGAGCTGTATTTGAATTTCAGCTCAAATTTGTATCCGTAATACATAGTATTTAATTTCACAAGCATAACAAATAATGATTGCTATCTATTTTTAGATGAAAAATTGCTCAGGAATTAACCTGTTACGTATCACTTTTCTAAATTATGCTCCAGGGCTCGTATATAAGAACTCACGATACATCATCAAATAACTACAGATGATAAAATGTAATAAAAATAATTTGCATCAGCGCTTTGCTTGGCCGTATTTACAGATACAGCATAAAATAACCGCATGCATTTGATAAAGAAAAATAGCATTTAATACCATTAAAATGAAATTGAATTTAGTATTATAGAAATAACTAACTGCTAATAATACTAAGATAAAAGCAAAAGATCTGATGTGAACACTACATAACTTCCTTGTATGGCCTATTAAATTATACACATGTTTGGCTGTATTTTATTTAAACTTATTTCCTTGAATTTCATTAGAGATACATTTCTCATTCAATCCATTCAGTTCTCATTTCGCGGCAAAGTAAATGTATAAATAATCTCGAAACATCTTCGTTAAAAATTGTAAAATACAGAAAAACATAATACGCCAAATACAGTTAAAAGCAGACAAAAATTGTTTTTAGAGTTAAAATTAGAGTATATACCAAAAACAAGCAATTGGGATTAATAGAGTTTTCATTAATAAACTGAAGGATTTGAAATCGAGCAAGAACAACATTGTTCGAAATGCCGTTCAGTAAAGCCTAAGGTACATTCAAATTTAATCTGGAAGGTTACTGAGTAATAAATCGAGTGATTTAAAAGTAATAAACATAGTTCTTAAGAATACCTTTTTCTGCTTTTTAATATGAATGATTTAAATAATCAGGTATTAAAGTCATGATATGTCTACTAGAAATTTTATATTTATGATAATTATTTCAGGTAGCTAGAAGCACGAGCGGCTAGTTTCTTAAGAAATAACTTAGCAAATATACAAATGTGTATGGGAACCACTAACACTCTACCGAGAATTCTAAAGATGCGCGGTTTTTAAATATTTTATGATCTTTGCCAATGAATTGAATTTTATGTGGCGTAATTGCGAAGAACGTGATATTTAACAAATCAAGTTAACGCACAGACAACTAATAATAAAAAGACAAAAAAAAAAAAAAAAAAAAAAAAGTATTAGCCATTTTTCTAAGAAAAATGAATATGGGTATAGTAAACTGAGAAAAAGAGAAAAAAAAATATAAAAGCATATGGCAACATTTAAGAAACTTAACACAAACATGAGTTCTAAACATATAACTACTATGAAGCTCGTACAAATTTTGTGTGCTGAACTGTACGTGGCGTAATGAGCAGAAAACGATGATTAATAATTAAGCTAAACGAACATAAGCAGGAGTGAGTGGGAGATACCAAGAGTGATTGCAAGAACAGACTTGTAGCCTGCGAGCTCAGCGAAAAGCGTAAAATCCTTAACAAACCATTTTGGGCAACCGTTTAAATCTGAAACCTACTAGATTTCTTTAATTTTAATTATAATCAACATTTATGTGGTATCCGTATCTGGTGCTTAAATTTTGAGAAGTGTTCCTTATTTGAAATGCTGAGTTATTCCATGCTGAGTTCCAGTAATTGAAATTAATGGAAAAACATTAAACAAACTTGGTTAAGTTATTGTGATATTAATGTGATGTTTTTGGGACAGTGTTGCAGTTCATAGATGATTCACAGTTCATGAAAAGTTCATGGATTGAGTCAGAGTTCATACATACAGTAGAGTTCACCAGTTCTAGTTATGCCATTTTTGATGTGCATAACTGTGGTCGTATTGTCTAGGTGCTAAATCCTTGCTACACTAAGACAATCTATTGCAATGACTATAGAGGCACCCCCAACTGGAAAACTGGCGTTTGTGCCAAGATAAAAGAAGCACTTATAACAGTTATGGTGCACACAGTTCCAAGCCGTGACGATGGAGTGTGTCAATTATGTTTTTGATACTATTGTGGATTTTCCGGTACTTTATCAGGAAGCGTTTGAAGTCTGTTCTTGGTGCTGTGGGATGGCGGATATGATGGTCTGCTGTTATTGGGCATTGGAATAAATAATGGTATAGATCACCCGGATTGCCACAAACGCATATTTCAGTCTCTGAAAACTTTCATAGAAGTACTTTGAGTACGGTCCATGACCAGAGATATATTGAGAGAGATAATAATTATAAATAGTACGCTCAGTATCGACACATGGGAGAAGTGAATGCGTCCTTCTGCTTTGCGGTCCTTGGTTCCCATTGTCTATGCCACTCTTCTTTGGCTATCACTTTTAGCGTAAACTTCACTATGGAGCGTGGCCATAGGATGTGGATGGTAGTGCCTAACTGTTCGAGGGCAGCTTGCTTTGCAAGGAAGTCTGCTCTTTCATTCCCGGCGCAATTACTATGTAAGAACGAAATTCATTTGGCTGGAATTGATAATTGTCTGTATTTGTCGGGCTACTGGTGAATTTGAGCAGGGAATTTTAATAGCATAGATTGATGATTGGCTGTCACTGACGATATGGACTGTGTTCGTTAGTAGTTGCTGGAGCTCTTGCATACTGTAGAGGATTGTAGATCTCTAAGGTGCCCTTGCCATTCTGTGTGTGAGCTAAGATTGTATTGAATGGTTGCAGCGCTGCCAAACTTTCGTTCAATCTTTGAGCCGTCAGTGAAAGCCATGTATTCCGTTGTGGGTGGTGTTTTGTCGAAAATGCAGTGC